ATCAACTGGTTAGGAGGCAAACCTGGGCCAAAAGCTATGCAGCCATAAGCTAGCCCATCATGTACTAATTGTGGTCTGCCTCAAAGAGATGCCCTAGGCCAGTGCCTAATGGATTCTCTCATTCAGGAGTTGAAATGAAGAATCAGAAAAGAATGTTCCAGTGCCTGGTGTATGCTGGAGTTAAAGGACCTGTAAACTGAAAACTTGGGTGGCCACCAGAAACAGGCTTCATGCCTGCTTAAGTTATGAAGGGGTACAGGTCCCCCATTAGACGAACTGCATGTGATTTAAACACTATGTTGAAAAGTCAATCAATTTCTTAGCATTTAAATTATCCAACTTGTTCTACCAACCTAAAGCATCCCTTGGTTTTTCCACAGTCTTCCACTTTGATTTTGGCAAATGGATCCACAGGAGGCGCAGTAGGGAAAGGGTAACCTGGGCAGTGAAAATAAATAATGGTTAGAAAATCCGGTAACAACCTTCCCAATGAGAAATAACTCTTTTCAATGTGTTGACTATTCAGGTGGTTGCTGTTATTTTCACTGTGTGCCATCAAGTCAATTTCAACTCATAGCAACCCTACAGGACAGAGTAGAACAGTCCCATAGAGTTTCCAAGACTATAATCTTGGTAGCAGCAGACTGCCACATCTTTCTCCCACAGAGAGGCTGGTGGGTTCGAACTGTCAACCTTCTGGTTAGTAGCCAAGCACTGAACCACTGTGCCACCAGGGCTCCTTTCTCCATCATGCAGGTCTAGAGATGTTTGGGTCTCAAGGAAAGGGCTTTGATTAAGCCTGTTCATCCTCTTTCTAGGGGAAGGAAGTAGAACACACATCTTTGGACTCAGCCTTATACATGAAGTGAGAATGCATGTATGTGTTCTCTTCTCATTCTGTAGGCAGGGAACCTGGGGCAGGGAGAAGGAGGAGGATTTCAAATAACCACTGGCTCACTGCTGCCCCTGGAATTTGGACATGAGAATGTTAATAGAATACATACGTACAGGAGGAAAAAAATCTAACAGATACGTACACGTGATTGTAAGGCTTTTTTTCCACTTACATGCATGATAATAGGGTCTTTCCATTCCATTTTTGGAACTTCCATCTTCCATTAAGCTGTATGTAAGAAGTTC